TAGAAACCCTGTACCCCATATGTGCTACCCCACTATAGCCTACAGCAACTATGTCATATAAATCTGACATTGTAATTTTCCCTTGTTGGACAAATCATAGATGTGTCCTTGTGCTTGATTGTCATCAACCTTTAATGGAAATATTTCTCTGAATTTTTTTTTAGAGAGCATTGCTCTATCAACGTTTTGCCGAGACGAAGCAGTTAGGTCCTATTTTCTATTTCAAGTCTTTCTGTCCTAAGCTGTTTAAATTTATATAGGTAAACGTGCATATGGGATGGCGGCTACTGTCTTAAACTACTATGTGAAGAGCTTTTTTGCACACGAATCAATTCGTCGTCACATGTTGCGCAACAAAGCTTGGGAACACTCTACTACACACAACTATTTTTGTTGAAAATTTGCCCTGCGAAACTTTTCCTTGTCAGAGGTCCACTGGTGATCCCCGATCGATCCTAGGGAAGGGTTACAGGCACGTTTGCCTGGGAGGTTATGGGCGCACTGACCCGCTACTAAAACAAGCCCTTTTATCCCAATGGTCTAGTGGTTGGGATTCTGAGATGGTATCAGAGCAAAGGTCTCGGGTTCGAATCCCGGTGTATGCACTTCGGGCATCCCAGTGCGGGGGGGGTGTCAGAGGTCCACTGGTGATCCCCGATCGATCCTAGGGAAGGGTTACAGGCACGTTTGCCTGGGGGGTTATGGGCGCACTGACCCGCTACTGAAACAAGCCCTTTTATCCCAATGGTCTAGTGGTTGGGATTCTGAGATTCCTCACCACAATTTTCCACCCTGGGTGGATGTCTCACTCTTGACAATGGGGTAGATGCCAGGAAGCACGTTGATGCCACACACGCCATCCCCTCCTTGAATGTCCATGCGCATGTGGCCCCTGTCTCCCCAACCAACTCCCCACGAGTTGCGAATGATCCAAGATGGAGGAGGAATGCGGCATTGGCTGCCGTCGTATTTGTTGATGAAGTAGCCAATCACGAGCACCACATGGTTCAGACTGCCTATGTAGCAGTCAGCATCCGCGTACTTGAACGTCTGAAGCGAAAAAAGGGACAGTGCATACATCAAAACCAGATGCTCTCTGATATGTTGCCATTTGTGTAGGTGTGAGTCGTGCATATGGATGCATGCACCATCCTACAAGAGTGTGTCACACTGCATGAGTATGTGAGCCACCATGGTGCGTTATGGCTGCAGCGACTCACCCCATTGTAACTGAAGAACGTGTTGACCGAAGCATCGATGTGAACCACCACTGGCTGGCGCCGCACTGCCAGCATGAGCCCAAAGTACACCTTGAAGAGCGCCCGCTCAAATGCTGCCACCGGGTATGGCTTTGCCTAAAAACACGAGAATGGGTTTGAGATTGTACGAGTAGAGCTTGGTGCTGCACTGCCAGCCTATCCAGGTCCTCCGTATTCATCACAAGAAACAATTCACCGATCCCACAGACATTGCCAAGGGGATGGAGTCTCGAAAATGCACACAATTATGCCATCCACGACTACACCCCTACCATGACCTCATTCCGCTTGCCCTACTGTGTCATTGTCTCCCGGCCTAATTCGGTCAATAATGTATTAGGGACCAATGTACACCGTACCCGTATGCGTACCTATATGTAAGTGTACCTACGTTCATTTAATTTGGGCGGGTATAAAAGTTTCTAAGTTTCACTTGCTTTTTGCCAGTGTTCGCATGCTAAGACGCTGCACTGCTACGGATAATAAGCACTCAACTTGTGCCCTTGTTGTAAGTCTGCAAGGGCACACTAAACTTGAGTGTATAGGGCATACTAATGTTCGAACTTGTCATTTGGCACGGTTCTCGCATCGACATTCTGCTTAGATCTAGATCATAGTAGTTTTAGCAAATACGTGATTGTACATCACTCGGACATGCTCATTTAGAATAAAAAAGGGTCAGCGCGATTTTTTACCTGACCGTACATAAGGGCATAATTTGGGATAGACATGAGCAAAGTACCAAACCAAGTCCTGGTTCGGTCCGAACATGTTCGGACCTTTTTTTGTCAAAAAAGGTTCGCCAAAACATGTTCGGGGCTCGTACCGATGTTCAGTGTTCGAAAAGTTACTGTGGCACCAAACATGTTCGGTAAAATCCTAGTGAAAAACGAACATCAGATGTTGGAAGTAAAAGCTACGGAAAAGGGGAATCGAGGTCATTTCGACCTTGATTACCTCGATCCCCTAAGTTAGGTTGAGCTGAAGCCAGTAAGGACTACCTGAATCCTAACCAGCATTAAAGCAACCAACATATCAGTTCAAAATGGAAACATAAGTAGCTTAGTCGTTTTTTAGGGTTGCAAAGGGAGGTTAGCGAGTTCCTGTACCATTTCAGATCTGAAATTGTACCTAGGCCAGGGTGATTTAGGGCGACGTATTTGTCCATAGACGGATGTGTTTGCAAGAAACTGGGGTGGTGAAATCAGCTATTGCACAGAATGTGAACATATTGAGGGGCCTTCAATGAGGGGTACTCAAATTCGAACACAAACATGTTCACAATTCTCGAACACTGTTTGTCAAATGTCATATATGCTACAGTTTGTTTAGGCTGAAGTGGGGTAGCTACTATGGGGTACAGTAAGTTTAGGATTTCCTACTTGTACCCAACTCTTTCCTAGTTCAATCACTCTTGTTCATTCTGACATGGTATCACGAGCCATGTTGCTCCAGACATCCCGACCCCGCGCTCTTACGCTGAGGCGATCGCGGGTGAGTACTCCTCTAAGTGGCAGTCAGCCATGGACGCAAAGATGGCATCCTGGAAGTCCACTAGCACTTACGTCAACGAGGTTCCCCCTCCTATGGCAAACATCGTCAGTGGCATGTGGATTTTCGGGGTGAAGCGGCCGCCAGGTTCTCCGCCTGTCTTCAAGGCTCGTTATGTTGCTCGAGGCTTCAGTAGATTTCTTCCAGACCTTCTCCCCCACCCCGAAGATGACCACTCTTCGGGTGCTACTGCACGTTGCCGCTCAGCGTGACTACGAGCTTCACTCTCTTAACTCCAGCACAGCTGTCTTGCAGGGCAGCCTGCATGAGGAGATCTGGCTGCGCCGCCCTCCTGGCTTCACTGGGTCGTTTCCTCCTGACACTTCGCTGCCGCCGTTCTACATCCTCGTGTTCGTCGACGACTTGGTCTTTGCCACTGCTGACACTGAGGCTCTCGCCCTGGTGAAGTCCGAGCTGCAGAAGAGACACACGTGCACAGACCTGGGTGAGCTGCGTAGTTACCTTGGCTTGTAGATCATCCGGGACAGAGCACGCCGCTCCATCACACTGACTCAGTCACACATGGCGCAGCAGGTCCTTCACGTGGTCCTCGGCACAGGCCACTCCTCTGCCTACTGGTCACTCGCTTTTAGCTCCACCTTCGCACGAGCCCGTAGAGCGGAGTGGTCCTTACCCAGAGCTAGTTGGCTGCCTCATGTACCTGATGACTTGCACTTGTCCTGACCTCGCGTACCCTCTTGTCCTTCTGGCTCGCTACGTGGCTCCTGGTCGGCACCGAAAGGTGCACTGGGATGCTGTTAAAGGGGTACTCCGCTACTTGTGCAGTACATCAGGCATAGGGCTCGTGCTTGGAGGGAGGAGCTCAGTTGTCCTCACTGGGCACTCAGACGCTTCTTGGGTTGACGACCAGCTTACTCAGCGGTCGTCACAGGGTTACACATTTAGTCTTGGCTCTCACTCTGTCTCTTGGCGTTCTACACGCTCCTCTTCAGTTCTCAGCTCCTGTTGTGAGGCTGAGATCTACGCCACAGCCATGGCTGCACAGGAGTTACGCTGGCTCACCTACCTGCTAACCGACTTGGGAGAGTGGCCTCGTTCTCCTCCACCGCTGTACGTCGACAACAAGGCTGCCATTGCCTTGTGTGAGGAGCACAGACTCGAGCACAGAATGAAGCACATCGCTCTACGTTACTTCTTGGCTCAAGAGTTGCAGCAGCGTGGTCAGCTTTGTCTGCGTTACGTGGCCACTCAGGCCAACACTGCTGATATATTCACCAAGTCACTTCATTCTGGTGATCATCAGCGTTTATGCACTATGCTAGGGCTTGTTCCCACTTTTCCTTGCTTGGTGTAGGCTTTGCTTGTACTGTGATATCTATATATATACATATACCTGCATGCTTGCTTTGCTAGGTAGAGATCACTGTGATGTTTGTGTTGCATATATGCCTCTGCTTGTGAACTGGCCTTGTGGCTCTCTGCTTGTGCTTAGTGTGTGTAGTGATGTTGTGATCCACCCTGAGCTTGCTTTGCCTTTCTTGACTGGTCTTGTGACCCCTTGCTCTCCCCCAGTTTGCCTATGGGGGTGTGTCAAATGTCATATCTGCTACAGTTTGTTTAGGCTGTAGTGGGGTAGTTACTATGGGGTACAGTAAGTTTAGGGTTTCCTACTTGTACCCAACGCTTTCCTTGTTCAATCACTCTTGTTTATTCTGACACTTTTAACATGTTCGCCCGCACAAACCAAACACCAAACACATAAACTGTTTGAAAATTCTGAACACTTACATTTATTTCTGACAAAAAATATCGGAAGTTTTGGGTGAAAGATTTGATAGTAGATTTCGCCCTAAATCTGCAAATTCCGGCAATACGTTGCATCCCTCCCCCCCCCCCCCCCCCCCCCTCGTTTCCACCCCTTGTATTGCCTCTGGCTTTTAACCACCATGGGCAGGTTGAAGTTTTTATCAACCCTGAATGAAACGTGCGCTTCAACGGGTCGAACAGCCACTGTACTCAAAAGTGATTGCCCCCTTGGGCGAACAGTTGAACACTTCTTTATTAAAGAGAGCTCGACTAGAACAGAACCTGATCTGTTCAAGTTGAAGGGGGTGCTTGAAAACGTTTGAAGTTCGAGTTTGTCCTATGCTCATGTCTCTACCGCACTGACATTGACCGCATTGCATTTGCCCTACGGGGCCATTGCCTCCTGTGAGTCCACTGCTGCCATTACGAGTGATGAGCTTGAAAGTGCCCATGGATACGGCTTTCATTACTCCAGCCCACGTCACTTATGATGCCCTCACCCACCGTGTCATTTTCTCCTGCAAGTCCATTGCTTCCAGGAGCGATGAGTGTCTCAAAGGCGGCAGTGGGGGAGCCCCCTTTGCACTTGTCTGCATCGGTCAGCTCCATGGCTGCAAAGAGTTGGTCCACTGACAGCTGGGGAGCAGCTTGATTCAATGCGATGCTATACGCAGCCTCCACACTCGCCACCACCGCATACGCCCAGCATGCACCTGAGAATAAGTAGATAGGAGAAAAGCGGAGCCTGCTCAGCCTCTGAGAGTGGAGTAATCCAGAAGGCCAATTTGCTAAATAGCAAACACAACCATGGACGCGGATGAGCTTGCAATGTGAAACTTTGAGTCTCGAGACGCCAAAATCAAGGAACACACATTGAGCATGAGAACCTGAAAGAGGGTGGAGCTACGATCCGGGGAGTTTGTCAAAAGAGACACATTGAGTCTCCATTGCCACTCACCGCAATCAGCCTGATCCTTGACACGCCAGCTGAGGAAGTCGAGGGAGTCCCAATTGTGGACGTCACGGATGGCCCACGAGTCCTTGGTCACATTGCTACTCGTCCATTGGTAGTCTGTGCTCACATAGCGCGAGAACTTGTTCGCTCCACGTGCTACAAATGTGCTCCCTGATACTACGAGGCCACGGGCTGTGAAGGGTGGAAAAAAAAGGCACACGAGGATGAGAAAAGGGGTAGTTGAGAGGCACACGTTAGCGTGCCAAGCACAATGCCACTAGAAGTTTCGTATTTAACATGCCACATTCCGCATATTTATATTAACCATTGATTTTTTTTCACAAATTCTTCTGCATTCAACATACACATAACAAAAGAATCGTGTAAAGTTCTGATCCATCCTCATGTTGATTGCACTTCCATTATTTCTATTATCCAGTCTCCACTGACAATCTGAACTGATGGTTGCCACATGGCAGACATCTCACATTGATTTATCGTCGGCATTGGCTCGGGTGGAAGACGTATGTCTGTGAGGGGACGGAACACACACGGAAATAGGCAAACATAGTGCTCTCGACACATTAGGTGAGGGTGTTGCCAGAAAAAGAACACAGGACTGGTCAGCTGATGTAGTATCACTCAAAAAGGCTAATGCGATGGCACCAGTTCCCACAACCGAGTAAGCAGCGAGGTTGGCACTCTTCTTATTGCCACCATGATCACCATCACCCATTCACCATACATAGTAATCACCTCACCATCGCCGTCAGTCACCCCACTCAACAAAAGCTTGCATATTTGCACGGCGGAGTTAAGAATGACATGAATCTGAAAGGGCTTCACAGTGGTTGACGCCACGAAGCCAAAGAAGAATGTCGGCTGCTGTTCGCTAGGCTGGAGCACCGCACACAGCGAAAAATCCCTCTGCAGCAGCGGCGTCGCTGGCTTCGTCTTGGAGTTAGCCAGAAACACCTTGATGGAGCCACGATTCCAAGGTTCATAGTCCACCCATGCCGTGTAGTAATCACCGTTGTTCAGAGTGAATGGTGACTTCACCGCAACCAGGGATGTATCCGAGCCATTTATGTTGAGCCCCATATACTGCTCCTTGATGTCATCGTGGTTGACATTCTGAAGCGTGTCAAATTCAATGGCTACACTCTGCCTGTCCATTCCACCATAACCTACACCAGCAGCATTCCCTAACTTGCGCTTTGCCGTGATCACATACGCGAAGCCGTTGGACCCGGCAGTAAAATTCTGAGAAATGAGGCCGAATGTGAAGTTGACACTGAAAGCCAGTTGCGCAACATATCCCGTGCTCGAAAGTGTTGGGTACGCAAAAAGGATTTCTGGGTTTGCCATAAACCTCCCCATTGTCTATCGCTGCGTTCCCTTGGTGAGAGAGGTGAAGATGGGAAGAATAGGATTGCTGATGGAGAGACTCTTATTCCAACCTGAACGCATTCAATGGATGACACACGGGAACGAGGAAGAATTGAACTCGTGAACAGATAGTTGCTTTGAAGCTGGAAGAAAGGGCTTGGGGCTGGTGAGCACAGATACGTGATTACTGGCAAAAGAGGAAAGTGCAGAAACGTTATGGAGCAGCAGAACGCACAAATTGCCATTGCCAAACCTCAATCTCTTGTCAGAAGGTCTGATTCAGAACCTAGCAGCTCATGATGACAGGGGATTGCGAGATGACTGGGGTGCTTCTTGTGTTCCCGGAAAAGAACGCAGAGCCCACACAACGAGGCGAGTATTTTTACTATCCTCATTTTTTAATCGCTTTGGACAAGCAACTAGCATTGCCTAGGCGAGAGCAATAGCAGAACTGCAAGCACGAGTGCTGAAGATAGTGTGTGGCAGATCTGTAGAGAGATGAAAGGTTGGGTTAGGTAGAGGTGTTGGGTTTGGTGAAGTTGGGTGGTCAGCTAGGTTGGGAGGAATCGAATACGACTGTGGGGTTGATTTTTACATGCGACGATCTGTGTGGAGAGGAAAGGTTGGGTTAGTGTGTATGCGACGTTCTTCGCGGATCAGCCACTACATGGATTGGCGGAAATCTTCACCAATCGGCGCAAATTGGTGCGCAAGATTGCCGATCCACCAGGCACCATGTTAAAATGACTGGTCTGTTGACCCGATTCACCAACGGTTCGGCCTGACCCGCCCTCGGGTGACAGCTGGCCTGAAACTACCAAGGTTGGGTCGCCTCCCCTGTGGTCCCGACCTCACTACGACCCGCGCCGACTTGAGCCAGGGGCAAAACGGGTCCGTTCTGATCGGGCCGACCCGTTGCTCACGTCAACCTGCTAGTACTCCATTCTTCAGGCGAGGTGAGTATTAGTAGCCTCACCACAAAAGTTTTAAGCTCGTGACAAGTAAAACAATAGTCGTTTTCTTGGGCGACTATCGGTCGGGCGAGAGATCGTGGCGAGGAATACTTGCGTCGCCTATTGCCCATGCCTAGGGCCTAGAGGCATGAGATTTAAGCTGATCAATCAGCGTGATGTGCAATGCCTTGCTAGAAATGTAGCAACGAAAGAAACATACAACATACCTTCTCTAAAACAATAGAGCCTTCCAATCAGCACATATCCCGGATTACACAAGCACGTTGGAACCAAGCTGGGACCGTCTGGATAGCAGAAGCCACGACCATCACAAGCATTACAGCCACCACAGAACGCCATGCACTCAATTGCAAGCCGTTGCTACGTGAGGCTACACTTGGGCTTCGTGCGGGGACATTTGGCCTGTGCAAAACAGTTGCCTGCAAGGCGTCTGCCAGTGGAGGTTGAAGTTTTTGAAGAACCTGTCAAGTAGTTGCTAGAAAGGTCCGCTAAATATAGGGAATCTACTTGAAGGCTCGAAATGGGGCCTGAGAGGTAGTTGTAAGATGCATAACTGTACACAAGGGGCATGGGGAGGGAGGTATAGTTGGTGGGCGGGGTACAAGTGTGGTCGAGGTACACATAGGAAAGCGTTATGGGATAACAAACAAGATCGAGCAAAAGAGATGCAAGGACTAAGAGGAGAGAGGAGGAGGAGGAGGAGGAGGAGGAGGAGGAGGAGGAGGAGGAGGAGGAGGAGGAGGAGACAAATGAGGAGAATCGAAGCGACACTGGAAGAAATTGGAGAAAACGAGGACATATGGCTATCACCAAAGGAGGGGGATGAGTAAGAGGAGGGGGAGATGAATTCAAGTGAGGAGAGGGATGGTCATTGAAAGATACAAATATGACAATTAAAAGTGAGCGGAATGTGTTGGACGAAAGAAACAGGGGGAACTGGATGAGGGTGTAAGGCAGGCAGTGAGGGAGGGCGTGAGGGAGAGGGGATTGGGAAGGGAGAGGTGGGTTGGGGGACGGAGGAGGGTGAAGGATGGGAAACCTTGAATAGCTCTCTTTAGTCTCTCATGATTGCGTTTATTCTCACGCGCTCAAGCTATCTGCTGCTCATCTCGCACCACTTCCCACAAGCGCGAACCATGCATATTATTTTTTTATTTTTTGGCCCAACATGTTTGGAGCGGACAAGTTCATGTTCGGTTCCAACAAATGTGTTTGTCGGACTCAGGTCCCGCAACCCCTTTTTAAGGTAAATGAGGAATAATCTCCCCTCCCACAGCCTCTACTACAAGCTCCACTAGCTGGCATATCTAGACTCCAATGAAATATTTTGGCGGAACCAGACTAGTTTAGTTTAGGTTAAGGGTGATTAACACTTTTAAGGCGTTCTCTTCACTCCCACACGACCACCACGTTTAGCCACACCTCCCTGAACGCCCTAATCCACCATCACGCATCATGTGACTTTAACGTAGGCAAAAACCGTAAAGGAGAACACTGAACACCCCTTTTTGTTGGAGGTGTTCAGCCGAACACGAACATGTTCGGTTTGCCAAACGAGAGTGTTCGGGCCCACGACTTTTGCTCATGCCTACCCCCCATCACCATTCACAGTTGTGCAATTTCATGCCCCACGTCCACCCACTCCCCCTCCTCCTCCCCCTCCCCCTCCCCCTTCCCCCCCCCCCCCCCCCCCCTCTCCCCTTCCCCTCCCCCTTCCCCCCCCCCCTCTCCCCTTCCCCCTCCCCCTCCCCCTGCCTCACGACACCACCCTGACATCCCCTCGCCACTCCCTCAACTTGCACTCATCAGTTCTTTGACACAAGAAATTTCCGACAACGTCGCAAGATAAAGCATAGAGGAGGAAAACCAAGTAGAGGCCTCACAGTACTAGCAGCTTGGGAAAGAGAGAGCGAATGTTGGAAGGAAAGGAGCCACTGAACCTATTGTTGTCGAGACTCCTGAGGAGAACACGAGTTGGAGCGTGAGAACGCAGAATGGTGCAAGAGTATCGACATGACATCATGCTTTCGATTCTCGGAGAGATCATTCATGTGCATGTTATTTGCTCCACAATGTGACCTTGTAACATATTGAATTGGGTTGTCACTGGTTATTAGCAAAACAAACAAGAGACGCAACTGAGAGGACACGCGGGGAGAAGGCACTACAGGATCGTTAAAGTACTGAGGGTTGAAATGAAAAGAATATTTCCCGTGAACTTGTTGCTGGACAAATCTCTGCACTTATACGAAGGTGTACGAGAGAAGATGAAGATAGAGGAGAATGGAATGTTTTGAGACGGTGAGAGCAAGAAACTAAGAGAGTTGCAAGGAATCGTGACCACTCTTATAAAGGGACTCTACTAGAAAAGGGAGAGGAAAGGAAAAATGTGAGGTGAAAACAGGATGGCAAAAAAAAACGGAAAAAAAGGAGAAGCAAATTACAAATCAAGAGCAACAAAATATCAGGAGAACGAAACAAAAATTAGGGTTCAACAAAGCACGAGACTGGTGCAATGGTCGGGACATGATTTACAAGGATTATGACACTAAAGGAGAAGAGATGATGGCAGTAAGAAACTACAGTGTGAAAAGGAAGCTGTTCAAGAACCCAAAAACAGGAGAATGGAACGAATCAAGAATGCTCAATGCAGAAAAAAATTGAATGCTCTTGGCACAAATCATCAACACACTGTTGCCTGTACATATGCACAAAAAAAAAAAACTGTGTTGGTGGAATGTAAATTTTGTCTCTCGGCCACTAAACGCAGAAGCAGCAAGACAAGAGATAGGCCCATACAATAATGTCAATGCTATCAACAAGCTAAGGGAAGCAAGAATGGAGCCGTCGAGCTGATTGCTATATAGACTCCTGCGCTTGTGAAATGATGGAGAGCAAGGCGTTAGAGTGCCTAAGAAGATTGCCAATATGCCAGCAGCATAAGTCTCAATTGTGCATTTTTTGTTGGAGAAGGCAACGTGCCTTGGACATGAACAAATTTTTTTATTTTTGCCCAAATTCATTCGGAACAAACCCGACACTAAATGTGGTGAACGCGTTCAGTTCATTCGTCCCGCGTTTGACGCGCTTTAGGGCCGAAATGGCAACATTTTAGCTCAAACTTGACCATTCGCATTTCGACCTCTTCCAAAGCCACGCCCACATTCTCACAAGTTAGCTATGCATTTCGTTCGGTATTAGGTTAAGTTTGATAGAAACGTG